AGGTGACAATATACAGTCTTGACATACTCCTTTCCCGATTTGGAACCAGTCTGTTGTTCCATGTCCAGTTCTAACTGTTGCTTCTTGACCTGCATACAGAGTTGTCAGGAGACAGGTCAGGTGGTCTGGTATTCCCATCTCTTTCAGAATTTTCCAGTTTGTTGTGATCCACCCAGTCAAAGGCATTGGCATAATCAATAAAGCAGAAGTAAATGTTTTTCTGGAACTCTTTTGCTTTTTTGATGATCCAACAGATGTTGGGAATTTGCCAGGAACCAGGAACCAGGAACCAGGGTCCCTGGTTCCTCTGGCTCTTCTAAATCAAGCTTGAACATCTGGAAGTTCACAGTTCATGTAATGTTGAAGCCTGCTTGGATAATTTTAAGCATTACTTTGCTAGCATGTGAAATGAATGCAATTGTGAGGTAGTTTGAACATTCTTTGGCATTGCCTTTCTTTGGCATTGGAATGAAAATTGATCTTTTCCAGTCCTGTGCCCACTGCTGAGTTTTCCAAATTTGCTGGCATACTGAGTGCAGCACTTTAATAGCATTATCTTTTAGGATTTGAAATAGCTCAACTGGAATTCCATCTCCTCCACTTGTTTTGTTTGTAGCAATGTTTCCTAAGGCCCACTTGACTTCGCATTCCAGGATGTCTGACTCTAGGTGAGTAATCACACCATTGTGGTTATCTGGGTAGTGAAAATCTTTTTTGTACAGTTCTTCTGTGTATTCTTGCCACCTCTTAATATCTTCTGCTTCTGTTAGGTGCATACCATTTCTGTCCTTTATTGTGCCCATCTTTGCATGAAATGTTCCTTTGGTATCTCTAATTTTCTTGAAGTGATCTCTAGTCTTTCCCATTCTACTGTTTTTCTCTATTTCTTTGCATTGATCTTTGAGGAAGGCTTTCTTATCTCTCCTTGCTATTCGTTGGAACTCTGCATTCAAATGGGTGTATCTTTCTTTTTCTCCTTTGCTTTTTACTTCTCTTCTATTCTCAGCTATTTGTAAGGCTTCCTCAGACATTTTTGCATTTTTTTTTTGCATTTTTTTTGCATTTCTTTTTCTTGGGGATAGTCTTGATCACTGCCTCTTGTACAATGTCAAGAACCTCCGTCCATAGTTCTTCAGGAACTCTATCACATCTAATCCCTTGAATCTATTTGTCACTTCCACTGTATAATTGTAGGGGATTTGATTTAGGTCATACCTGAATGGTCTAGTGGTTTTCCCTAGTTTCTTCAATTTAAGTGTGAATTTGGGAATAAGGAATTCATGATCTGAGCCACAGTCAGCTCCTGGTCTTGTTTTTGCTGACTGTATAGAGCTTTTCCATCTTTGGCTGCAAAGAATATAATCAATCTGATTTTGGTATTGACTATTTGGTGATGTCCATGTGTAGAGTCTTCTCTTGTATTGTTGGAAGAGGGTGTTTACTATGACCAGTGTGTTCTCTTGGCAAAACTCTGTCAGGTTTGCCCTGCTTCATTTTGTATTCCAAGGCCAAACTTACCTGTTACTCCAAGTATCTCTTGACTTCCTATTTTTGCCTTCCAGTCCCCTTAAATGAAAAGGGTGTTAGTTCTAGAAGGTCTTGTAGGTCTTTATGGAACTGTTCAACTTCAGCTTCTTCAGTGTTACTGGTTGGGGCATAGACTTGGATTACCGTGATATCGAATGGTTTGCCTTGGAAATGAACAGAGATCATTCTGCCATTTTTTGAGATTGCACCCAAGTACTGCAGTTTGGACTCTTTTGTTGACTATGATGGCTACTCCATTTCTTCTAAGGGATTCTTGCCCACAGTAGTATATATAATGGTCATCTGAGTTAAATTTGCCCATTCCTGTCCATTTTAGTTCACTGATTCCTAAAATATCGATGTTCACTCTTGCCATCCTGTTAGACCACTTCCATTTGCCTTGATTCATGGACCTAACATTCCAGGTTCCTATGCAATATTGTTCTTTACAGCACTGGACTTTACTTCCATCACCAGTCACATCCACAACTGGGCATTGTTTTTGCTTTGACTCTGTCTCTTCATTCTTTCTGGAGTTATTTCTCCACTCTTCTCCAGTAGCCTGTTGGGCACCTACTGACCTGGCGATAAGGGTGACCTCCTTCAAAAGGTCCCAGGCATGCACTGCCACACTCAGTGCCCCTGACCCTGAAGCAGGCCACAGCTGCCACAGCTGACTCACGCTTCTGCCGGAGACTCCTGGACACTCACAGGCAAGTCTGAGTCAGTCTCTTGTGGGGTCAGTGCTCCTTTCTCCTCGGTCCTGGTGCACACAGGGTCTTGTTTGTGCCCTCCAAGAGTCTGTTTCCCCAGTCCTGCGTAAGTTCTGGTGGCTCTGTGGGGTTAATGATGACCTCCTCCAAGAGAGCTTATGCCACACCCTGGTGTGGGTAAATAGTACAACTACTATTTAATTTAACAAATAGTACAAAGTAGGATGATAGAAATGGATTAGATCATGATTCTGTGATTTTATTTTATTATAATATTTGTGAATTGATGTATTAGCATTTCTCATGTTAAATAAACTAATCTTTAAAAACTATACTTTTTGGGAAGAGTTTAAAATTGAGGCATAATTTCCATGCAGTAAAGTACACAGATCATAAATGTGCAGCACAGTAAATTTGCACAAAGCAAGCATATCCAGAGCAGGAATCAAACACTTCCAGCTTACTTCCTATACCTTCCCAGTTAGTACTCCCTAAGGCTACCACTATTCTGACCACTATCGTCATAGATTGCTTTAGAATTATGTTTAATTTTGATTATGAGTCCTTCAAGAAAAAAAATTATATTTGGAAATTCTTTTTATTTTGAGAGCATACATTAATTTTAGCCACTTAAGAAGTTTATGAGGAGGATGTCTTCCAAAACCATAATATCCATAAGAAAAATCATCAATAAATAGTATAAAAAGGGTTGTTAAAGAAGAAAAAAGTGAAAAGCAAAAAATCAGCTACCCGTCAGTCATGGTTATCCATATACCTCCATTGAAAATCGTCTATTTAGAGTGATAAATGTATAGCACAGTGACCATAGATATGTAGACTTTACATTCAGTCATTTGGCTATAAAGTATACTTACTGCCCCTCTACTTTTAAGGCTCATCAATGTATTGGCCCCACACTTGGCTTGAAGTGCTCAATGTTTTGCTCCCCATTGTTTTCGTCATCCCTTCCCTCAAACCACCCGGTCTGTCTAGCCAAAAGTGGATATGATAGGGTTATTGCTACTACTACCTGCTACTAGCTATTATTATTGACTGCCTACCAGTGCCAGGGGTTGACTGAGACTTCAAAAGTGTCATTTCTAAGTCTTCTTGAAATCCTATTGGGTAGTTGGTATTACTCCAATATACATGGAAACATAGTTGCAAAGAGGTGCTGGTTTTCTTGAAGACATGTAGTCACAAAGGACTGAGCCAAGATTTATACCCAATTGTATCTGGCTCCAAAGCTTACCTGACTCTGGTAAGGCATAAGGGAACACTGGAGTGTTGGGAAGGGACAGGTAGGCAGTAGACTCCGCAGCTGGGAAGGGAAGGTCTAACATGGTAGTCTTTAGGTGCTCAGCTAGGGTGGGCATGGGCATAGTGAAGTTTGGGACTGAGATTAAGAGAGAGAGAAGGGGCTGGTGATGGTCAGGGCTGCAGACAATGCTGGGTGGGGGCTATGAGTGGGAGGCTATCAGCACTGAGCTGACAGAAACCAATAGTTTCTCCAGTTCTGCTCACCAGGAAGGGAGAACTGGTGTCTGCAGCCCTTGGGGGACAGGGAGGTGGCATTTCCACATCTCAACCCCTCTGGCCTGGGCGGACAGCCAGAGCGGAGAGCCAGGGAAGCACCAAGCAGGAGAGATCATTATCGGGAGGAAGGAAGCTCTGGCAGCTCCCACGAGCTTGTTTGTGACAAGCAGGCACTGGGCCACGGAAGTCCCTTGAGGTCAAGGGAAATGTGATCCTGGAACAGCGGGATGAAGCTGGGACACTTCCCTGACACACTGTGCCTTCAGGGCTAAGTGATCCAGCCAGCCAGAGCCAGGCCCAGGGCCCAGGACGGAAGAGTAGTGGGCTGGAGAAGGGGAGGGCAGAGCGGCGGGGCGGGGGTGGGGTGCAGGGAAGAGAGAGGATTACGATCCTTGGAACACCTCAGCAGCAGTCCCTTGGCTAGAGAGGTAATGACCTTTCCTGCAGCCAGCATGGCGTAACTGGCTCTTCGGAGCTCCCCGACATTGCCTCACGGGTGAACTCTCACCCAGTAACCCCCTGGTCCCTGCAGAGCTCTCCATTTCGGGCCCAGTGATAAACTAGAAAGTGCACTGCAGGCAGGCAGGAGACCCGGTTTCAAGTCCAAATTCTGCTACGAACCTCCCTGACAAGCTCTTTAATTAATAAAGCCGTCTGAAACCTCAATTTCCTCATCCCTAAAGAAGTAAGTAATCTCTGTCAAGTCTGTCTCACAAGGGACGCCCGTGGACACACCATGAATGGCCTGAAATGCCCAATCATTGTGATGTGCTATGGCCTCCTTCTCTTCCCTTCCGGCCGCCTCCCTGCACACAGGCCACCTCACCACCACATCAGGGCTGGGGAAGAGGCCTAGTTTAGGACCGGGAGTAACTCTTTCCTAAATCCCATACACGCTTTTTCCAGTCCTTTCTTCCTCGTGCCATGCTGCCATAAGAAGATAGGGCATGGGAGAGATGTACGAGGCACAGACCAAGGAACCCACACCCTTAAGCTTATTGGGGATAAACTTCTGAAAAAACAGCAATAAAAAGTAGAGAGATCACCATCTCTTCCAGAGCTTAGCCTGCTAAGGTATCACCTCAGCCCTCCAGGCCTCTATCTTTTCAGAGGAGCTTGAGCCAGGAAGTGTCCCAAGAGATGTCAGAAGAGAACCTTCTGGGTGGAGGAGTGGTCCAGAGGTCTGGAGAGGGAATTAGCTCAAGCACAAGGTAGGCTGGAAACCTAAAGGACTTTTTCCAAGTGGACAGGAACCAGCTTGAATTTCCCAGAGTCCCCTTTCTTGGGAGGGTCACAGGCCACGATGTAAGAAGCGACCCGTTTCTTCTCCTTGTACTTGCAGTCTGGGTATCTCTTTGAGGTGAGCTTACAGTCGGTCAGGGATACAGGCTTCTGGCTCTGGTGGCAGTTATTCTTATGATTCTTGCAGGCTTTGTTGGGAGTCTGACAAGTGGTGGCCACACTGGAGAAGGACTCATGTAGGAAGGTGTTGAGGTCTTTGCAGCGTTTGGAAAACTTGTTGATTTTGCGCATCGCGGCATTGCAGCCTTGAGGCCTGGGCTGCACATGCTGAATTTCAAACCACTGAGCTGGGGTCATGTTCCCAGGCCTGGCACTGACTGGGTCCTCGGCAACCCACAGCCCCAGCAGCAGGAGCAGCAGCAGAGGGCAGAATCCTGCTCTGGCTGGCGCCATCTGTCTTAGGGGGCACAGTTGGAAGGGAGGACTGTGGTCTCTGGGGATGGAGAGCAGGAGGTGGAAATTAGCCCTCCTGAACCTGTTCCTTCCAGCGGATCACCATCTCCCTCCCTCTGTCTCCTTCCTCCCTCTGCCTGTCTTTTTCCCCCTGTCTTCTCTGCGTGCCCACAGCTGCTATGACCCCTTCCCATAATCCTAGGGCTCTGTCCCCCTCATCTTGTGTCCCTATCTTCTTTCATTCATTCTGTCCCACATGTCTCCTACTCCTTGCTCCATTTCCTCTCCCTCACCTCCCTCCTTCTGTGTCCCTGTTTCTATCCTTTTCTGTTTTATACCCTCCATGACTCCATCCCCATCTCCTCCAAAGCCCCATTTTGTGCCCCCAGCCCCCAGCATCTCTCTCCTCTCCCCCCTGTGTGTCCTCATCCCTCCACATTGAGTCCCCCCTTTGCCCACCTTGTCACTCACCTGAGGGTACTCTTATCTGACCAGAACCCATCCCTCCCTGTCCTCCCCTCACCCACGTCCTACTGTGGCCTCACCTCGTGGAGGAGTCTTCCTGTTGCAATGCCGGCTCAGTGGACACACCTTCCCTCCGCTGGTCTTCAGATCTCTGAGGGCCTCCTCTCCCACCACAAACTCCTTAAGAGCTGGCCTGGCCTGTGGTGCCTTTATTTGGGTGTGGGCTGGGGAGCAGCCCTCGATCAGGAAATGAATCAGGGTCATGTCTTTCCACTCACATATTCCAAGTGTATTAAGTGGAGCTAGTACACCTGCCTAAACATCTTTAGCAATGAGGAAGTTTGAATCAGCATACTCAAAGAATAGATCTGGCCTCTAGCCACAAGGTTGTGATGACTCTGATAAAACACTTGACCCAGGTGTCTACCCCAAATGACAGCTGTCATTTATCCTCTCCTATATGCACCTCTGGTTCTGATTCTGGGAAGAGCCCATGGCTGTGGTGGTAAGGGTTGCTTTTTTCTGATCTGAGATACAGATGGAATAGCCTAGAAGGTTACTTTGCAAGACTTCCTGTCATCAGGGCTTACTATTAATCTTTTGGAGGAGACAGGGAAATGGACCAATCATCACAGCCACTATTCCCAGCACCATTCCAACTCAACCATTCTACAGTGATTCATCTTTCTGGGTTCCTCCTGTTCCAGGGTCAAGCAAGGTCACTTGGCTTTACCTGGAGATGATGCCCAACACCTCTCATCCTTCACTCTTTTCCTTACTGCTTTAAAATTTTCAGCACTTAGTGTCCAAAGTTGAGAATGCTGCTGGTGGTGAAGCTGCTCCACAGCTAACTAGACCTTCCTCCACCTGTGTTCCCTGTTCCTTGTGGCAGTTACAGCTGTCTGGAAGGCTGGAGTCAATGCTGCTCCTGTGGCTCCACTGAGCTTGGTATGTGAGACTCAGAAGAACTGAGATACCAAGGAGGAGAAGCATCACTACAGGTGGATGGGAAGGCCTAGAAAACTGACATGAACAGTGTTCTTCTTTTCAGGATTTACTTGTAAGCAGTAAGTGATCTCAGAAAAGTGGATTCAGGTTCATTCACGTAGTCAGTATTTATTGAGCATCTACCTGGGCCAAAGAGCTTGGGATATACCAGTGAATAAAAGAGTCAAAATCCTTACCTTTGGAATGCTTACATTTCATTGAGGGAATAGAATCTTTACATTACACTGGAGGAACAACAGTAAAAAAAAAAAATTTTTGCTCAAAGTGATCATTACTAAGGAAAAAAGAACAAATGGAGATTGGTAGGCAGTGATTTTTAAACAGGGTCATTGAAGTAGGTGACTGGAAAAACACTTGAAGGTGAGAAAGTGAACTTATGCTTGTTTGGGGAAGAAGGCTCCAAGCAGAGGGATTCAGTTCAGTTCAGTCACTCAGTTGTATCCAAGTCTTTGCGATCCTATGAACTGCAGCACGCCAGGCTTCCCTGTCCATTGCTGAAACTCATGTCCATTGAGTTGGTGATGCCATCCAACCATCTCATCCTCTGTCGCCCCCTTCTCCTGCCTTCAGTCTTTCCCAGCATCAGGGTCTTTTCCAGTGAGTCACTTCTTTGCATCAGGTGGCCAAAGTATTGGAGTTTCAGCTTCAGAATCAGTCCTTCCAATGAATATTCAGGACTGATTTCCTTTAGGATAGACTGGTTGGATCTCCTTGCAGTCCAAAGGACTCTCAAGAGTCTTTTCCAACACCACAGTTCAAAAGCATCAATTCTTCAGTGCTCAGCTTTCTTTGTAGTCCAACTCTCACATCCATACATGACTACTGGAAAAACCAAAGCTTTGACTAGATGGACCTTTGTCGGCAAAATGATGTCTCTGCTTTTTAATATGCTGTCTAGGTTTGTCATAGCTTTTCTTCCAAGGAGCAAGCGTCTTTTAATTTCATGGCTGCAGTCACCAGCTGCAGCAATTTGGGAGCCCAAGAAAATAAAGTCTGTCACTGTTTCCATTGTTTCCCCATCTATTTGCCATGAAGTGAGAGGACTGGATGCCATGATCTTAGTTTTTTGAATGTCGACTTTTAAGACAGCTTTTTCACTCTCCTCTTTCACTTTCATTAAGAGGCTCTTTAGTTCCTCTTCATTTTCTGCCATAAGGGTGGTGTCATCTGCATATCTGAGGTTATTGATATTTCTCCCAGCAATCTTGATTCCAGCTTGTGCTTCCTCCAGCCCGGTATTTTGCATGATATACTCTGCATATAAGTTAAATAGGCAGGGTGACAATATACAGCCTTGATGTACTCCTTTCCCAACTGTTATTCCATGTCCAGTTCTAACTGTTGCTTCTTGACCTGCATACAGATTTTTCAGGAGGCAGGTCAGGTGGTCTGGCATTCCCGTCTCTTAAAGAATTTTCCACAGTTTGTTGTGATCCACACAAAGGCTTTGGCGTAATCAATAAAGCAGAAGTAAATGTTTTTCTGGAATTCTCTTGCTTTTTCTATGATACAACGGATGTTGGCAATTTGATCTCTGGTTCCTCTGCCTTTTTTAAAACCAGCTTGAACACCTGGAAGTTCATGGTTCACATACTGTTGAAGCCTGGCTTGGAGAATTCTGAGCATTACTTTGCTAGCGTGTAAGATGAGTACAAAGGTGTGGTAGTTTGAGCATTCTTTGGGATTGCCTTTCTTTGGCATTGGAATGCAAACTGACATTTTCCAGTCCTGTGGCCATTGCTGAGTTTTCCAAATTTGCTGACATATTGAGCGCAGCCCTTTAACAGCATTATCTTTTAGGATTTGAAATAGCTCAACTGGAATTCCATCACCTCCACTAGCCTTGTTCATAGTGATGCCGCCCCCTCTCCAGTATGAAAAAGCAGAGGGGACAGCACTGTAAAGGCCCTAAAGCAGATGGATGCCTGGGGGGGCTGGAGGAACAGTAGAGTCCAGTGTGGCTGGAGCGGGTGAGTGATAGGGTCAGAGGGGTCCAGAGGCCAGATCATGGAAGCCTCAGAGACCATTGGAAGGACTGTGGTGGAGGGCTGAAAAAGGCAAAAAAAGAAAGGACTGTGGTGGCTCAGTGGTAGAGTCGTCTGCCAATGCAGGGGACACAGGAAGCATAGATTGGATTCCTGTGCTGGGAAGATCCGCCGGAAATGGCGACCTGCTCCAGTATTCTTGCTTGGAAGTTTCCATGAACAGAAAAGCCTGGCAGATTACAGTCCATGGGGTTGCAAAGAGTCGAACATGACTGAGAAGCTGAGCATGCACACACATTTTGCTGTGTACACAGCGGGGACCCGAGGAGGGTTCTAAGCAGAGGAATAGAGACAGTTCCCTGGTGGCCTAGTGACTAGGAGTCCAGACTTTAATTGCCATGGCCTGAGTTCAATCCCTGGTCAGGAAGCAGATCCTGCAAGCTGCATAGCAAAAAAAGAAAAAAAAAGCAGAGGAATAGAAGATCTATCTGTTTAAAGATTCCCTGGCTATTGTGTGGATGTGACTGCAGAGAAGTCCCACGAACCATGCAGTTCATAGAAACCTGAGTCATACAGTTTGTGTTCTGGTCCAGAAGTTAGGATTTTGAGTCAGGGAGGTGGGGTGTTTGTTTTGAGGTTGGGGACGTCATTTTAGTAGCTAGAGAGCACAGCTGTGGGTCAGGATGGAGAATCTTTGGAAGAAAAAATGATGTCGGAGTGAGAAACACCACTAGATGGCAACAGAGAACCAGGAGCAGGTTAGCACAGGCCTCTGATTCCCGCTTCCTCCCCGGTGAGGCCTTGGCGGTGGTAACAGCTTTCACTGCTTTGTTCAGGTGCCTGATTCTTTGTAGTCTGAACTTCTGGGTAGAGAATTATGCCTCTGCTGCTGTAGGAAAGCAAATGTTTGCAGATAAAATCCAAGGGTTAAAGCACAATGTGGACAGAATGCAGATCAGCCCAGGCCAGTCCTGCCCTGGACTGGAGGCTGGGGTTAGAGAGGGGGTGGAAAGGCCAAGAGCTCATTTGGATTCCTTGCCTGCCGGACTCCTCCTCACTTCTTATTATTCTAGAGTGAGGTGATTCCACACCACAGCTTGCACTGCCCTCCGCTCTTATGTTTTCCTGTTAACATAATTATCCAGTTTGCTCTTCGACTTCATGGTGTGGGGTTCTAAAAAAAGTCTACCTTAGTGTTCTGTGAAAGTAAACACAGCCACACTGTCTCAGTTCAAAGGGAAGAGGGAGTCAACGTTTAGATCTGCACTGAAAACTGACAGTTAAACCGACTGTTTACACAGTTCAGGCTGAAACCCTTACTTTGTCTCCATTATTTGGATAAGGCAGGTGATTTCGTTTATTTATTCACTGAAACTATACAGTTTCCAAGATCTGCTTCACTTTGCACTCAGTAGGATAATTTTGCCACGTTTCCGTCACTGCATTCACAGGGCGAGAAAGGATGGAGGAAGGGGAATAAGGTTAGGGAGAACAAAAGGAGTCAGGCGTCAGGCCAAGGACTGGTCGGGAAGTCTGGCAGAA